CTGACGGCTTTCATGAGGATTCTTGCCGGTGTTCTGACTTGGAGGGGCATTTTGTACCTCTGCTAGTTTCCTTTACTTCTTCACGTTAACTAGCAGGTCTCATCTTGGTGAAACCTGTAAACTTCGTCTCTTGTAAAGCTGGGGAATAGTGGAGCTACTTTGCGCACAGGAATTTGCAGGTCCTCACAAAGTGACCGTGCAGGCTTCTATGAGTACCATTTGATGCCCCTCCAAGTCGAACTGCGCAGACGTTTTCTCCTTGTCCCTGACGTTCTCAAAATGAGCGAACGATAGTGCTTGATTGATGCACGATATGGGGTATAGGTCAGGACTCTCGGTCACGGTTAGCCAACGTCTGTACGATGATCTTTGGAGTACTACGGAGGCCTAGCATGAACTTGTAGCATGAATTTACGAGGGCTTCTAAAAAAGGACAGGAACGGGTACCCGAGTGCCGTCCTCATACTTCGCCTGCGCTATCCTCAGGGTGAAACGCTTGCAAGAGTCCAGTGAGGCGAAACGCGTACTCAGCGGTGGAGATTCATCAGAAATGAGGGAGCGCAAGCAAGTAGTCCGTCTAGCTATGGCTAGGTGCCTGGCTGTCCGTGCAACAGCGCGGGTATAGTATGGAGACGGCCTTGGGTCGCTACCCTCCAGCCCCGTTCCCTGCACAACCAGAGAAAGTGTAACGCTTCTGCAGATGCAAACCCATCCACCTCACAAATGTCAGGAACTAACTAGGGTCCACGCAGGTGAGAGTACAGCTTGCCTTTGATCTGTTTCGTGTTCTACTAACACTTACCCTTAAAAATGTGGCCGACATTTCAAGACGTTCCTCCTCATCGGCAAGGATTTACTCGATTGATGTACCTTATCGGATCATCATCTACGGTTCATCGGTTCCACACGGCAAGGATCAAGATCCACGGAGGTAAGTGTACACTTTGTATTTAAGGGCATAAAAGGATAAGGATAAAGTCTTCGCCGTTGATCAATCCCTTTGCAGGGATGCGGCACGCATTCTTTACTTCCATTCAGAATCGTAGTGGCTTATGGATGCGATGTGGTTCCGCATACTAGAATGCGGCGGCGCACCCTAGGTACAGAAGTCAGTTGTAACTTATCCATCCACACTGGATAACCAGTTTTACCCGTCTTCGGAGGAGAGAAGCGCCTGGGTTGGCCTGGACGGGAAGTCGACACCCGGATTCGAACTCCGGACACGCGAGTGTAAACGCGTCCATTTGTCTACAACAACCATCCGCTCATTTAGGGGCTGCCAAACGACAAATATGATACTATCCCTCTGAGATAGTAAGGCAGTGTATATAGGGACAACATGGTGAAAAGGTGAAGGTGATACGGTCAAAAAGCAGAAAAAGTTTGCTTTCAACGACTCAGGAAACTTCGGACGAGTTCCCCGTTAGCTCGTGCCAATAAGCGCTATGGTAGGTGCGGCACTGCCTGTATGTACTTCTATCGGCCGTGGCAGCACCAGCTGCCACTTCATATCAATCCTTTCGTTTCATAATGTACCTTGCAATGAAGCGATACGAGCATCAGTATCGCTCGGAAATTTGTAGACGTATGAGCGCAGTTGGCGTCCCGGGTCGGTATGTTAAAGCTTGATAGGGCGATAAGGGTATTTTCTTGGAAACTGGGCAGACCTGCATTAGAGCGCCGAATCTGCCTGCTAGCGGTGCGCAGTCCACACTTTTTGGGATTTGTCATGCCAGCTGGCCGTTCCCAAGACATTTCATCGTTTTGCTAAATGGTGAAACTGTTTGTGCGCTGCATCGCTTACCACGTTTGCGAGTAACAATGAAAACCTTCACGGGTTCAGTCATCCTTCCCCGCGTTCTGCTTTGGAAATCTGAGGAAACCACTGGAAGCCAGGTCTGAACAGTATGCTAACTGTTTCAGCATCTTGAATCTCAACCCTTTATTGTGTCGGCTGTCCATCTGGCAGAATGTGGCCAAGCGCTATCCTCCTTGGTATGGATCGACAATGGAACTACCAAATTTCAGGCCAACTACATTCCAACTACCTAGCTGGAATAAGAGCGACGCGTTGTACCGAAGTTAGGGTAAAGCATCGTTTAATGTATCCCACTGGGAATCGTATTTAGTCAGCGACAGAGGGGAAATCGTTTGGGGAGGAGCGAGTCAGCACTGAAGGACAAACAAACGAAGAATAATGAAGTCAGGAAACATATGGAGCCGGAACTGATCGGAGGAAAATATGGGAACTACAGCACTGCTCCTTGCCGTTCCGTTTCGTCTTCCGCTTCTGGGGGATCAGAAGTAAGTTCGGTACTACTAGTACAAAGCGCAATGCTTCATAATGCTGTTCTCCATTTCCTAAAAGCTCCATATTCGAGAAACTCACAGTAGTCCTAAGAGAGGTTACCCACTGTCCGAAAAAAGCTACCCACAAAAACCTGCTCTAATGGTAACAGCAATAAAAGCAATAGGCGCGAACAGTGAATTTAACAGTGTTGGGAGGGATATTCTTCTTACCGTTGTATTAAAGTTGGGTGAAATGACGGTGTTAGGTCGACCACCCCCCCCCCCTTCACTCTTGAAAAGAGTCATAACAAGACCCTTTTGAGAGAGAGGCTCGTACAGACATCCCCATTTTACCCATCCCGATAGTGCCCCGACTGAAATTTTGCGGACTTCACTCATTCAACCCTAGGACTAACAGAATTACCGAACCCTGGCAGGAAAAATTCAACAAGTCCTCCCTATCCTGGCTTTCCATCAGTACTCGCCCGCTGATCAGTAACTAATCCTGCCATTCGTCTAATAAGTCGAATAGCTACGCAGAAACCTCTGCTCTTCATCTGACTTGTTGAACGCTAGTATTGTGAAGAAGGAATGATCCAATGGAGTTTGATAACATGCCAGTCGGTTACGGTAGCGAGATCATTTCTGCAAATATCCCTCGAAAACCCATATAAAAGCTCGAATCTTGTGGGGTGGGTCTCATTTTACCATTTACATGAATGTTTCGGCGTTACCGGCTAGGGATCCATACAAGACTGCAAAGAGATCTGAGAAGCCGCCTGATGCCTGCACACCCGTCGTATTGAAGAGAAGCCCAGCCGAAAACACCAAAGGGAAGGACGAGAAAGCTCATTGTGGAGACACTAAGCCGAATAAAAGGTCCAAGATAACTACTAGTGGAGAGGGAGGTGCAGAAGTGAAGATGAAGAAAAGCTCGCGAAAAGGTGTGACTTCCGCTGAGAAAGATCAAGTGAAAAAGCCAGAAAAAGGAGGGATTGTCGCGGATGGTAGAATCAAACCCACGAAGAAAAAGACTCTTGACGGAAGCAAAGAGGATAATAAGAACCATCCAAGATCGCGTTCGAAAGAACCTAGCGCTGAGGGTGACAAGAGCAGATGTCAAGGAAGAAGAAACTCCAAGAGTCACTCAAGTGACGAGAAGAACAACAACAAAGTAAAAAGGAAATCCAAAGAACGTGTCTCTGATGGTGAAAAAGGCGGTAATTTGCGGCTGAAAAGGCACACGAAAGAAAATGCTGAAGAAAATGATTCTGCCAGGGAAAGGCGGAGAGCAGCGGTGAGTCTGTTGCAGTTCTGGGATCAGTTTCTGTGAGCGGACACGTGGAGAATGGACATCGATTGTGCGCGCGCAAAATCGATATCCAATAGAGCAGTCCAAATCAGCTTCACAGTGAAGTACTAGAATGAATGTAACGCCTAGTTTAAGATGCTCAAGATGACAAGGACATACACTGAAGAAGAAGATGAAGACAAGAATACGAAATCAAAGTTGAAGAAGATTGCACGACGATTTATGACCACTGAAGAGGATGATGTACGTCAAAGCGTTCAGTAGTCTTTTTGGCAATGTAACATCCAGCTGATGTTGTAGTTGAGGAATTCGAAGTCGGGCATCCGCAAATAACCAGCGCTCAGCTCATGCCTAAGGACAGCAAGGGGCGTGGCTGCGAGAGTGACGAGGGTCTAGACTTTAGAGAGGGATAAGCGTACTTATGTGTAATTGTAAAATGAGAGAGTCGACAGTGGAATATGCGGCCGTCGCCCGCACACTCTTTCCTCCCACTGGACGATAGTTCCTGGCTTATTGACTTGAGGAACCCCACCCTGGAACACGCTTCTACGTGCCTAAGGCGACGAATGGTCGTGGTCGAACAAGCTCCCCTTGTTGGTTTCAGCTCTTCACCCTTATCACCTCACTCTCACTACGCGAGATGGAGAGAATCAGTGGCAGAACAACCGCACCACCAGAAGCCTTTAGGAATAAAAGTTGTTGTTGCGGGGGCAACGGGCGGTCGGCCGCGCACACGAGAGACGAGAAGACCTGACCGGCCGTTTTAACTTGAATGCTAGAGGGACGGCAGAGATTGATATCACTCGGCTGTCTTGCCTCTGCTCGAACTCTCATGAGTTTAGTTGTTCCAATCTACTGATGCACAGCGAGGAATTTGCCGTGTACTGCTGCACGATGCGCCGCGCGCGACGACGCAGCAAATTCCGATTGTCTGTCCGTCTACCGGCTGCCGCTCGCCTTTGTGAGCGAACATTTAATGAAGAGCCATCAAAAATGAAAGCAAGGCCACTGCGGAGTTACAATCAACTGGGCGCCGCTTTGGGTTACGGTACCGTGGCGGTAATACTGAATTTAGCTTCTTGTCGACG